TCTCATGCCAATGAAAACCAAGGCAAGAGCAGGCAGGCCTGGGTCTCTGGCCCTGACAGGAGATTGGGAAAGCCCCTGAGACATTCACTAGGCCTTCACAGTGTACTTTCCATGTGTCAGGCACTGGGCTGGAGGAGTTCAAGAAGCAAGATGAGTCAACGCTGGGCCTTGCCCTTTGCACTCCTGAGAAGTTCCCAGTCTAAAGGATGGGCAGTCTGGACCAATACATATGTGGTGACGCTAGGATCCCATGAATGGTAGCTTATAAATGAAGCCTGTTGGAGTCCAAGGGCCAGTAGATTGGCACTGACTTGGCTGTGGCATGTCAGGAAAAGCCTTGCAGAGAAGAATGCTAGATCCTGGGCCTATGTTCAGGCTTCTTCCCTTTGGCCAGTGTCTCACTTTTCTTCCCACCAGTTTTGGCTCGGCCTCAAGTCTCTTCAGCCTTACCAGACAGGACAATTGGGCTGCTCTGCTCATCCTGGGAGGCTTGATTAGGGTACCTGAGTACCTGTCCACATCCAACCTCAGAGGACTATACCCCACTTTGCTCCTCTCTGTGTCCCCAGCAGTGTTGGGTGGGGCAGAGAGCAGGTACCTGTGGTGTGTTTGATTGATGGTGACCTTGGTAACAAGGAGTAGAGCTCCTATACCATCTGCCATCACTACTTTCTTTCCAATATCCACTTAATGTGTATCTTTAACTCGAGTACCTCTTAATTGCTGCCACCTTGATCTCACCTGCTGTCCTCTCTCCCATGCATTATTATGGTAACTGGTCCCCTGCTTCTGACTCCTTTAACCTGTACTCTGTCCAGCAGCCACAGGAAATACCAGTCAGATCCGTGTCACAGAACCCGCCACCAACTTCTCATCTCATGTTGAGCAAATGCCAAAGTCCTCTCAAGGATGTATAAAGCCCCGCATAGTTTTGTCCACCATGACCACTCTGATCGCTCTCTGCTGTTTTCCTCTACTCCCTCTGTTCAAACTATGCTGGCCTGCTGAAGTGTGAGCTTGTCCAGGACCTTCTTCCACAGCGTGGAATTCTCCCCAGGACAGAGCTCTCTTCCTTTGGTCACTCAGCCTGAAACTTAATTCTGCTACCATCTCCTACTCCTCTTCTATATGTTCTTTTTTCCTTATCAGACACTTGTCTCTGTTTAACATTTTACCTGTTGATGTTTATTGAATAACTCCCCACACTAGAATGGGGGGGTTCATAAAGGTAGTACATTTTGTCTCTTTTGCTTATAGCTGAATACTCGGTGCCTAAAACCAGGGCCAAGTGCATAGTAGTTTCTTAGTGAATATTTTTAGAGTGAGTGAATGTGCAACTCCTGTCACCCAGAGACTTTCAGCTTGTCATTGTTCTAGTCCTTCTCTGGCCTTTGTATTTCTTCTACTGGCCTCGAACTTCTTGATCAAGTTCCTGGCTGAGGAAGTGCAGACATGGATTGCTCTGCTTTCAGTTGTTGGTGATTTTCTTTTCTTGAGGAAATCTGAAGAACGTACCTAGAGTAGTTCTGACCAGAATAGAGTGACCTCAAGGATAAAGGGCATCCGGAGGGCCTGAAGAAGAAGCCTCTCCTGTGTCCAGCTGTGCTGTTGGCCTCAGCAGCTGCCAATGCGCTTGATGCCTTCTTAGGGTGGGACTGGCTCATGCTGGCTGCAGAGCTGGTTTCAGGACACGTGGGTCTGAGCAGCTGAGCTGTTCTTCTAAGAGATGTGGCATTAACCCCCACCAGGAAGAGCATGATCTCCCAGCCCTGACCAGGAGAGGAAAATGCACCCTGTCAGAAAAGGAAGAAAAGTCAGGGGAAAGCAAGCAAACTTGTTGGAAGGCATTCTGTCTTAATACAGATTTGGATCTTTAACTTTCTTCCCAAATTCTTCTTCCCCTTCTGTTCTCTTTTGTTATTGACTGATCTGGATCCAAAATCATCCAGTGCAGTACTTTGGGCCCAATCTGCCTTCTTCCCCCTCCTCAACCCTCCCCTTGACTCCCGATGGAAGGTCAGTTGTGGGGCTTGCCTTCTGGAGAGGGCCGTCCTTGTCTGTCAGTTTGTTCATGCACCACACACTGAATGTTCTTGGCTTGGTCCAGTGCTGCTTGCAAGGAGCAAGTGCTGAGTGACAAGTGTGCATTCACTTCTACCTTGTCATACAGACAGGAAGCTGGGTCAGAGAGTTCAGGGGTTGGGGTACTCAGGTCACAGGCTGGCAAAAAAGGTGCCCAAATAGACTTCAAATCCAGACCCTTGTCTATTCCACCTAGCACCTGGAGTCTGTGGTCATCTCAGGTTTTTTCCAGGCCTTGGGGAGAGATACACACTGTAAATAACTAAAGAGAGACCCCAAATAATCTGTCTCGCAATGACATCCATGGAACAGAATATGAGATAATATGGTGCTAGCATTTGCTTTGAGCAGGCAGCAAAATGTTCAGAGGAAGTCGATGGGGTTTTGCTTTGGCTTCCTAAACTGGTAACATCATTCTCATGTAAATACCATCAAGATAACAACAGGAAAGGTGGAAAATAATTTCTCTTTTGTTTTTTAATCAGACTAAGAAGATAACAGAAGTGGGGGTTTTAAGATTAAAAAAAAATGAACAAATATGAGTTTGGAGAGGTTCTGGGAAATGCTTTAGCACAGGACACTTTGGAATTATGGGAGCGAGCCCTAGAGACATGGGGCCTCTGAGTTCCCAAAGCTGCTCTTGGGTCTGAGAGGAGAGAGAGAGATTCTAAAACTGCCAGAAAAGTTTTTGGAATCCTAGGTTTTTGTCACACTAGAGGAGCACCCTGCTACAATCCCCCAAGGAGCCAGAGCACTCACCTTCTTTCCGTGTCCTTTTAGGGTCTGGTAACAGGTCTCATTCTTGTTTTGTTTTTTTTTTTTTTTTTAAATAAAAACTAAATCCTGGTGACAGCATAACTATCCTGACTCCTGAGAAAGCTATAGGAAAAAAGAGAAAAAAGACTAGCAAGTGCTCGACCTTTTGCCTTCCCTGCTTGCTCGCTTGCCTGCTTCGCTGAGGAGAGATGACCAGAGGGTATAGGCCGTGTCCATGGCCCTGGCTTAGATTGCACAGCCAGCAGCCATGACTGTGCTGGGTTCCCCTTTCCTGCACTCTGCCTGGTTGCTTTCCTCTGCCAAGTGGGCTCTTCCTTCTAGTGTTCTAACATTAGCTGCTACCACTGGACGGCAGCCCAGACATTTGACCTTGGGAGCTCTGTCCTCCCCCAGCTCCTTCCCTCACGCCTACGCTCAGGCTGAGGGCCTGTTCTCTTGTTTCCAGAGTGACCACCACCCTTAGCCAGCTCTGGCCTTCCGTCCCCACAATTCTCCCAGTTATGTTTAAAGTCTAGAGAGCAAAGGGAGCTGGTGAGTAGCTATACCTGGGCAGAGGGTGGTACATAGCTCCAAGATACCTGATTTTTCCACAGCAACTGACACTAACTTTTTGGAGGGACTGATCTGGTAGGAAGAACAGGTACTTCCTTCTTCCTTCTCACTTGTTAGATAAGGATGCCAATGCTCAGTTACTTGCTTAGTCTGAAGAGTTAATGGTTATGTTAGACCTGGCGCTCAGCACACTGAATTGGCCTTTGGGCTCAGCAGTCCTAGCCAAGGCAGGCCACAGGCTCACTGGCATTAGAACCCAGAGGTGCATGGAGAGATCCAGACAGTCTGAGGCTTTCACCCTGGGTAAGCAGAGATACCAAGGGGCTCGCCCTTGGCTAACACTGAAGCCTTGGGAGTCAGGGCTGCCATATCTCCATTAACATCTTTGAGACCCTCCTTCCAAGGGCACTGTTCCCTTCACAGCTTCTCTTTCTCTTTTTGGGCCTGGTTCTCCCTTCTGCTTTCTATTACCACAGTCTTCCTGAGTTTCATTTCAGAGGTAGGGGGTGGTGGGCTCCACTTATTCCCCTCCATTGGGTGTGAGCTTCTCCTTGTTGCATTGTGGCTCTCTGTAATACTGTGTCAGGAAAAGGAAAAAGTGACTTGATTGCTTTCGTCAATAATTTGCAGAAGAAAGTTACAGAGAATCATGGTTATGGCCTGACATTTTCTGCATGGGCTAGTTCCTCATTTGGAGTCTTAATTGTGTCTTTATTTAAGTCAGGATTTCTTTCTGTAGTCAAACAGATGGTTCTGCTGCCTTGATTTGCTTTCTAGTTTTTTGGCTTTGTTACTAGGATCTGATTCCAACAACCTCTCACGATCTAAGGAGTATTACCGAGACAAGGCCCTGCCCTGGGGTAGGCTCAGGAACAGAACCTTCCTAGTAGAAGAAATACAAAGGGAAAATGTGCTTTTGTCTTCTTTTACTGCAAACCTCAGCCAGGGCTCGGGTGCTCACACTGAGCATCTTGAGCAACCTCAGTGGGCTGAGGGTTTCCCTTAGGGTCTGGTGGACTTTAACACATAGTGATTTACTCAACTTTTCTGCTGTACATGCAGAGGGTTTGAAGAGTTAGAAGGGCTCACTATGGAAATGGCACATATCAGTGAAAGTTTTCTTATATACCATGTGGGTTGGGAATAAGGGGCTCTGGCCAATCTGGAGCCAAGTGGGAACTCATCAGCATAGCTTTCATGTGGAGTTGGGCCCCAGGAAACCTGTCATTGGTTGGGTGTTGGGGGCCTGACATACCTTGGAATGCTGATGGGTATATGATGTTCTAGACCAGCTTAGCCTCACAGATGAGTCTCAGACAGCAAGATGGGGCTCTGGTCCCCTCTTGAGGTCCAGCATGAAATCAGCCAAGGTTCCTCATTTGTAAGCCACAGGCATCTCCAGCTAACTCACACCAAAGAGAACTCATTGGTGTGAAGGGAGTTCACACAGAACTGGAAAAGAGTTAGTGCATAGGCTCCAGACAGGACAGGACCAGGGAGATTGGGAGAACTTTGGAAATGGGTGCCATGGGCAGGCTGAGGACTTTGCTGCTGGTGAATCAGCCTCTGCACCTGCGGGAGTTAGAGCCATGGAGCAGGTGAGTTGTTTGGTCAGCCAACAGACAGAGAGAGACAGAGAGACAGAAAGCGAGAAATCACCCCCCAGGGGGGATGGCCACGCCACAATCCCTTCTCCTCCATTCTCCTCTCGGGATCTTGGGCACGCACGCACACTCACCTGGCGTGAGTTTAAGCCCCCCGGTTCGGGACGCGAACCGCAGTCGACTACGTGGGAGTACAGCGACATAGCCATTATGCCAAACTGCTGGTCCCTCAAGTCTAAGTTCTGTCGCGAACCGCAGTCGACTACGTGGGAGTACAGCGACACAGCCATTATGCCAACTGCTGGTCCCTCAAGTCTAAAGTTCTGTGCCTACCCCATGGCCAGGGGAGGTAGAGGCATCTTGGTTGATAGTCTTACGAGGACGCTACCCAGTGAGGGTACAGAGGTATCCCAATGCAAAACTGGGATGCTGCTAGCAGAAGAAAGGGGAACTGCACCATGAGCCCATGTAGTTCCATGTTGGGGGAGCAAGGGGGCTTATTTAGAACAGGGAAAAAAGGAGAAGTTGTTTTTTCAAGTTGTCAAAGCAAAGTGTGAGGCATCACTGGTCCACTGGCTCCTTTGGATGCCAGAGTTGGAGACTGGTATGAGGAGCCTGGGCCAGCCAGGGATGGGGTGTTAGGGTCCTGACTCTCTGGCTGGTACTCTCTTTTATTCCCCACTAACCCTTTTATTTTGGAGAGGTTTTTGCTATAGGGCCCATGCGCATGCAGACAGACAGAGAGAGACATAGAGACAGAAAGCGAGAAATCGCCCCCCGGGGGGATGGTCACGCCGCAATCCCTTCTCCTCCATTCTCCTCTCGGGATCTTGGGCACGCACACACACACGTGCCCGGCGTGAGTTTTAAGCCACTGGGTCCGGGACGCGAACCATGGTCGACCATGAGGGATCCAGCGACATAGCCATTACGCTAACTGCTGGTTCCCATTCCCCACTAACCTTTGACTTTGTCTGCGCCCAGCACTTTGGGGAGGCCCAGTTGTTTGGGGAAGCTCAATTCTGCCCATTGAAAATATATTATTAACCTGTTAACCTGACATCCACCTGATGTGTGAGCAGTAAGAACAAGACAAGGTGGCACTGATAGGTACCTTTCTTGTACAGCAAAGATTGTGAGTAAGACAGTTTCTTTTTTTTTTTCCTCAAGAAGCCTATGTTCCCCTTGGACAGTTTCTTTGTTTGTTTGTTGTTGGTTTTTTGGTTTTTTTTGTTTTTTTGTTTTTGTTTTCTGGTTGCTGTGGGAAATGTTAAGAGTGGAGCGATGTGGTCTGATTCCTGCTTTAAAAAAGATAACTTTAGGTCTGGACTGAGGGTGGAGAATAGAGATCAAGAATTGCAGGCTGCAAGACCAGTTAGAAGGTGTGTTCAGTGTGGGGTGGGGGTAGCCTGGTGTAGGGGCAGTAGTGAGTTACTGAGAAGCATAATCCCCAAGCTAGGAAATGGTAGGCTACTCTGGGGATCTGTAGCAAATGCTGGTAAACATGTGTTGAATAAATGAATGAGTCAGTGAAGAAGTGAGTAGGGGCTCAGGAGCCCTGTGTGTCAGCCCATGCGTCTTCCCTCTTCAGGTGAGACATGAGCATCTCTTGCAAGATGGCTGCACGCATCCATTTTCCCTGGGATGGCCTGGGTTAGGAGGTGTCACCCTGTGTAGAACATGCTGGCTTAGTAGGAGGAGAAGGTCAGGAGCACTATTTTACTGACAAGGCAAGGGGTGGCTCACTACTCTGCTTCCGGCTCTCATCTGGAAAACCCCAAACCTTCTTGGTGGCATTACATGTTGGTGAAGCAAATGAGCAGCTCCAGTGTTCCTGATCTCTTCTGCTTTCCTCAGCTCCCATATTCATGTAGGTTTCTGTGGGCTCCCAGCCTGGGCTGCCTTTGTCCACCTGGCAAACATGGGAGTGTGGGGGTTGTGGTTCCTTAGTGGGTGTTTTCCTTGTGCCTGGGTGCTCTCTTAGTGCTGGAAGCTATCTCCCTTGGTAGGCAAGGCCCCTGACAGTGGACAAACCCAGCTTCTCTCTGTGAACCCTCCCCCTGGGAGCACAGGGTCTGGCTGGCTTCCACAGTTTGTGTGGGTGGTGTAGCCCCAGTGACAGGTTCTTATGTTTGTCACCTGCTCTTTACTGGGTGACTTTGCTGTGGTGTGGGCTTTTAGCTGTGCAGTCTGCTACATTAACCCTGTCAGCTGGGAGGGAGGCAGGTGCAGCCTTCAGTTCTTTTCAGATATTTCCATTGATGGCTGTAGAATGAGTAAGTAGTGAATATCACTGGAATCCAGGAGTGTGACCTGACCTGATAGTGTAAAGATTATCTTAAACCAAGAAGTAGGGATTGGAAGAGTACTCTACTTCCTCTCACCTCCTGTAAGCTCCTCTGATCCTTCAGTACCAGCTCAGGCATTCCCACAGGAAACTGGCCCTGACCTTCACTTAAACGCTTCCTGCCCTGATCTCTCTAATGTAGTCTAATAGTTCATCTGTATGACTGTTCTCCATGAACTGTGAGCCCTCCTTCATCTGTGTCCCCAAGCTGACCTTTAAAAACCCTAGGATGAATGCATTGTTGATCAAGTGCAGAGATCCCTGGATTGGGCAGCTGGGGCTCGGGTGAGGGGGAGCCAGTGCCAGGCACTTGTCTCTCCCTCTTATCTGAGTAGGCCAGGTGTTCATAGTCAGCCTCACCCTCCTTCCAGGCCTTAAAGGGCCAGTGGGTTCTTGCCCACTTCTCCGCCTAGAAGCCTTGCCTATCTCTTGTCATTAGTTGGAAGAGGGCAGTAGGGACTCCTGTTAGATGTTGGAGCCCTCTGTGATAGCCTTATTCTCCTGGGGCCAAGAGCTTCATTCACCATTTCATTTCAACATTTTCACATAGCCTACATGTGAATAAGTACAAGTATATATCTGTGGAATGAATGAATGAGACAATGAGGGAGTCTTTAAAATACTTGAGGCAGACTTTCTTGGGTTCTCAACTGGGCACAGTTTTCTCCTTACCAGAGGTTATAACAGGCCTCTTTACCTGGTATCAACTAATAAAAGGAACTCTAGGATATTCTTTTTTATTTTTTTTAAGAGTTAGTTATTTTGTTTATCATTATTATTATTTTAAAAATTTGCTACAGGGCACATGTACTCACCAGAGAGAGACAGAGAGAGAGCAAGGGAAAGTGAGACAGCAAGCTACCAGGTCCAGGACTCAAACCACAGTTGACCATGTGGGAGTCCAGTGCCTTAACCACCAAGCCACCTCTTGGCCCCTAGAATATTTTTTTTTGGGGGGGGAGAGGTTTTTGCTATAGGGCGTATGCACTTGCCAGAAAGATAGAGACAGAGAGACAGAAAAGGAGAAATCACCCTCTAGTAGAGATGGCCACGTTGCTATCCCTTCTCCTCCATTCTCCTCTCAGGATCTTGGGCACACACGCACATGCACCCAGCATGAGTTTAAGCCACCAGGTCTGGGACTTGACCCGCGGTCAACTACATGGGAGTCCAGTGACATTGCCATTACGCCAACTGCCGGTCCCGGCCCCTAGAATATTCTTGTGCTCAGTTTGCTGTGTAACCATGGAGTAAGTGCCCTGGACTCGAGTTATTGCTCTGTTTTTTACCAAATGGTCATAGCATTCAGTGGAGACTGGGCATGGGATGTGAGGGAAGATGTAGAATGTTTGAGTGTTTCCCACTGTGGGAATATGCTGCCTACATGTTCAAAAGACATAGCTGTTGTGCAGGGACCAAATATGAGGGGACTTAAAAAGTTCATGGAAAAATGACATTAAAGTACCAGTTTATTTTGGTGTAAAATTAATCTTGAAATACATTATTTCAGATCTTGAAATAAATTATGAAATCCATGCATAGTTTTCCCATAGTATGCATTGTCTTGAACTTTTTGAAGACCTTTTGTATAACCTTTGATTGTCTGTTCAGTTCAGAAAGAATGCCCCAGAGTGCCTCATTATAAACTCCAAACAGCCTGCAGAGCAGAGACCACCCTTTCTGAGTTTTGCTTGATGCTTCTAGATAGAGAATGAAGAGCTGTTCTTGTATCTTGAAGTGGGATCTAGGAGTGGGAGATGGGGCCTGCCACCTTTCACTTGAGGTTCTTTTTATACCCGGGGAGGTCCTGTCCTCTTTCATCTTCTTTTCATTAGTTGGGAGAAGGTGAAGTTTGGCTTGGTGAAGTTTGCTCAGCTGTTTTCCATCACACCTCCCCCTGAACCATCCTCCACATCACATATTATGTGGAAGAGTCCCTCGTGTCAGAAGTCGGGGTGATTTCTGTGTTTTTAGAGCCCATTCACTTGATGGACTTTGTAACTCACTGAAAACTTGGGACAAAGAGTCCATGCCAAATTCTCCATAGATGTTTTCTCTTTTAATACTTTTTTCTCTTTTCCCTAACCTGACATTAGCAAAGGGCAGTAGCCTCTTTACTGTGATTTTAGCAAGGGATCAATGAAGATTCATGTGCAAATGTGCTTTTTTTTTTTTCTTTTTATGGAGAGGTTTTTGCTATAGGGCATGTGCGCTAGCCAAAAAGACAGAGAGAGACTGACAGAAAGCGAGAAATCACCCCCTAGGGGGGATGGCCACACCACACCGCAGTCCCTTCTCCTCCATTCTCCTCTTGGGATCCTGGGCACGCATGCACACATGCCCGGCGTGAGTTTAAGCCACCGGGTCTGGGACTCGAACTGCGATCGACTACATGGGAGTCCAGCGACATAGCCATTACGCTAACTGCTGGTCCCCAAATGTGATTCTTGTGACTCGAAGAGTGAATAGCTTTTCTGGTTGTTTTCAGCATACGCCAAAGAAGATGAGTCAAGGACCTACACTTTTCTCTTGTGGAATTATGGGTAAGTAATCAAGGTGGCTGTAAGCCATCCTCCTCTAGTCATTCTGGCCAGGACCTGAGTCTTCCAAAGGAGGTGCTGAAAGCAGTTTGTGGACATGAGTTCAAAAGAATAACCCTAGAGATTCTTTTCTGTGTGTTTTAATTATTTTGACCCCCAGTGGTGCAGGAGTGGTCTAGGGGCTGCTGGGGTTGAGTGACAGGACAGATCCTGATGCAGTTTATTGATGTGTGTATTTTCCATCTCTAACTTTGAGAGATTCTGTCTGATTACTAAAGTAATTCATGTTTTTTTCAGAAAATGTACCATAGTATAAAGTATTAAAAAAAAATAAACTCTTATAGTCCCAATAGTCAGTCATAGCTTCTGTTGATATTTTCATGGATATGTATATTATTTGTATTTTTTAAATAACTTGAGTCCACGATGAACTTGTAATTATATAAAACCATATGTGTTGGCTTTTTCACTTGGTAATAATTTCCATCATGTTCCTACAGCTTTAAAATTGTTCATTCTTTGCATTTTAATGGTCTACAGTACTGCATTGTGTAGCTATATCAAAATGTCTTTATTGATGCAACTATTTATTAGTTTATAGAGGGGCTATTTTATTTGCTGTTGTAATTAATAGTGATTATCTAAGTGTCTAAATCTTTGTCTTTTGGATTATTTCTTAGGATTGTTCCTAGGAGTAGGATAGACTGAGGGCAAGACATCTTTAAGGTTCTTGATTCACATTGCTGACACCCCTTCTAGAAAGATTGCTTTGGGTTTCTGTTTTTGTAGAGGTGTTAATTACTGGTTCTTACAGGGGCAATAAAAGATTTCTTGGTGCTGCAGATAATCAGGCATCGTTTCTCCTCTTGCTGTTTCTCTTTGCTGCTCCTATCCACTTTTGCCCTGCTTTGTCTTGCCAGATGACTTTCTGTAATGTCTCAGTTGAGTCAGAAACTGGACTTGGATGATGGATAACCACTATGGGCTTTTAGATTCAAAGTTTGCCTTTGTAGGATATTTTATTTGCTGTTGTAATTAATAGTGATTATCTAAGTGTCTAAATCTTTGTCTTTTGGATTATTTCTTAGGATTGTTCCTAGGAGTAGGATAGACTGAGGGCAAGACATCTTTAAGGTTATTGATTCACATTGCTGACACCCCTTCTAGAAAGATTGCTTTGGGTTTCTGTTTTTGTAGAGGTGTTAATTACTGGTTCTTACAGGGGCAATAAAAGATTTCTTGGTGCTGCAGATAATCAGGCATCGTTTCTCCTCTTGCTGTTTCTCTTTGCTGCTCCTATCCACTTTTGCCCTGCTTTGTCTTGCCAGATGACTTTCTGTAATGTCTCAGTTGAGTCAGAAACTGGACTTGGATGATGGATAACCACTATGGGCTTTTAGATTCAAAGTTTGCCTTTGTAGGTTGTATAAAGTCTACTTTGCTTTTTTTTTTTTCTTAGCCCTTTCTCTCTATGTATATGGTTTGTCTTTAGATGCAGGTCCCACAGATTGAGATGATGAAAATGGAGGTACACTGAATATGTCATATTGAACACTGCTGGGGACTGCACCAGGAACCCATTGACTCTGCCAGCAGCTTCAGGCGGTGGTGGTGGGGGGAGTGTGCATTCATATGTAGGGAGCCAAGGCCTAGGCAGGTGACTCTCTCCAAGTTCTCTTGGTAGGCAGCATTGTACCCAGTTGGGCTGAAGGAAGATTGTGTTCTTCTCAGTTACATCCTCTTAACTCCAGAGAGTTGGGAATCCCTTATTGCTGCTACTCAGAGGAAATGGAAACAGAGACCATGTGGCCTTGCTTTACCTGCGTGGCACACTTCTGAGTTTGTCCCCACATGATTGAATACCTCCTAATTGGTTCATAGTTTTCAGCAAACCCTCGGCACCTAAGCACATGTTCCAGAAGCCTGCCTCATTTCTGCTTCCTGGGACATCTGGTGATGAAAAGATCTTTCTTTGTCATGCTCTGGACAGAGAGAGGAACTCCTGGGCATGTCTGACTGCTCAACCATGTTTAAACTTTAGCTCTAAACTGGACCAGATCAGTCAGTTGGGTTGGGGACATGTTAGGCTTTATTTCCAGGTTGTTCATGTGTTAGGCTCCTTGGCCTTTACACTGTAAATCAAATAAGGTGGACTCCCATTAGTTTGTGACAGGTGCTGTTGGGCTCATAAAGTTACTCTGAACTTCCTTTTTGGAGCCTCAGTTTTCTCAACTGCAAAATGGCAATTACGTTAGCACCTACCTTGTAGGCTTTGTTGTGAGTTCTATGTGACATATTTGTGAAGAGATCAAAGGAGAGTGAACACTCCATAAGTAATAGATTAAAAAGAAGCTGAGCCCTAATTTGAGAATCCTGTTCTCTGAGAAGAGGTCTCTATACTCAAACAGAGGGGCCACCTTGGTTTCCTTCAGAGAAAGAATGTAGGTGAGAGACTGACACAGGAAGTATAGGGGCAGATCTCAGGCCCACAGACCAAGGCAGACGTCCCAGGGAAGGGAGGTGAGTGGAGAGAAACTCAGGTTCCCCAAGAGAGTCTGTCTGCGCCTGTGGAACCCAGCGACCTGCTTTTTCCTGGGGAAGGCCCAGAGTTTAAGAAGGTACTGTGCTGCACCTCCAGGCTCTTGTTTATAGAGTGACTCTTCAAGAAGCACTGACTGGAACCCAGCGCCTCTGTCTCAGGCTTTTCCCTTCCCCAGGACCCTGTCTGCCTTCTGCCGTATGGGCCAGTGTCAGGGCACTGCCAGGCAGCAAAGGAAGAAGCTACAAGAAGCTGTGCTGGTGGTTGGTCTGTGGAGTTTCCTTGTCCTATTTCTTTCTCTCTCATTGGGCCCAATTTTCTGTTGTTTAGCTCTCTCCTTAATTCTGGAAAACCGTGGACCTGTGTGACAGGGTTACCAAGGCTTTCCATTAACCACACTTATTTCATTGGTTTATTCTAGTGGATAGTAATTGTTAGGCACTTGGAGTAGGAATGGAGCAAATCAGACCCTGCCCCTTCCCTCAAGAAGGTGTCTGTCTCTAGCAAAGAAAGGTCAGCTAACACTGAATGCCCACGGGGTAGGAAAACTTCTAAGACAGAGGAGACCCTTAGAGCTACAGGAAAATCACCTCATCTTCCTGAGCCTAGGTTTCCTTATCTTGCAGATTTCTAGTGTTTATGGGGATTTAAAGAGATGGCTGCATGCCCAGGGTGTCAGCTCCATCCCTCTTCCGTCCCTCCCTTTCATGCACTTTCTGAGGCAGGAGTATCAGCAGTCAAAGGCTAGCAAGCCCAGCGTGTGCTAGCAGAAGCTCCGGTTACCTCTCTAGCCCATTTGACCCAGGGAATTGAGATTTTCTATCCTCACCCTGCACTGTGAACTGGGAGTGCACACCAGACAGTAAAGATTTCATCTTAGGGGAGTCTACTTTTTAATAGCAGGGAAGAGAACACCCCGAGGGGCAGGCTGGACTTCTCAAGAGGGTTTTGGGTCCTTCCAGGGCCGGACAATGCTGAGCAAAGATAAAATGCCAAACTCTTACACTCACCAACCTCCTAGCCTGTCTCGTGGAGATAAAGGACTCATGTTCTGGCTCTGATCAGTGGGATTCTCCCATGGGAGTTCAGGACTGTTGATCTTGTGACTCAGGATTTTTCCTCATAAGCCCCATGTGAGCGTTGAATTCATACTGGCTCCCAGTATGAATTCAAGTTTCATAAATATTTTGAGGAAAATCTGGGCAAGTACTTTAGGACAAGGAGCATAGCAGCCTATTTGCTTCTTAAAATGCTGTCCTTTCCTATGGCTTGGCCTCCTGTGCCCCACTTAGATAAAATATGTTACTAATAGAATTGAGTACTCAGTGTTTTAGAAGTATTTCATACTCTGTGATTGCAAACTGGCTATCAGGGCTTTCCCCACCATTGTCCCCATCCCATTTTGGAAAAGATACAAAGAAGTGGGTTTGTGCTTTTCTAAAATAGGGGAGAGGACACAGCTAGCATGAGTTGTGGGTGGGAGAAGCAGGGCAGAGTGTAGAGCCTATCAGGGCCGAGTAGGGGCCTCCATCAGGGCTGAGTGCCCCTTATTAGGGTACTAGCTCAGCCATCTCTCTGCAGGGCCTCTTCTAGCAGAGGGCATGTTTTGCCTCTTGGTTTTGTTTTTTTTTTACCTCCAGACCATCCTCAACCCATCTTCTGTACTGAAGCAGAATTTCTTCTGCACACAGCTTCTCTAGGTGGGGGTGTGGGGACCTGACTGATTATTATGCTCTTGACACAGGAAATGCTGGGCCTGTGGCGGCTCCGTAAGTGCAGCCCCAGCCCTGGTCAGATGGCCTGACTGATTTCTAAAGGGTGCCAAAAGAGATCTCGGCCGTGGCTGAGAGAATCATCCTCTGTTGGGAAAGGCAGGGCTGCGTGTGACTCCTCAGTCCATGGCTCCTTCTGGCTCTTCTGCATTTCCAGTGGGAGATGCTTCTTTATTCTGACCCAGGATCACACTTGTACTCGTTTAATCTTTCTTGGTGGAACAGGGCAAGTGGGGTGAGAGCAGGCTCCATTCACTGCTCTCTGCTAATTGCAACCATTAAATGAGTTCTGTATTGTACAGACAATGGGCACCACACATCCCATTTTCCTCACCACTCAGGCGAGGAGAAGACCTAGAAATCACATAGTAAGTGAGAAAGCAAAAGCAATAGCAATTATTTCAAAAAGGCCACTAGGAAAAGTCTTGTAAATACAAGTCAATGGACAGAGAACAAAACAATTCATATGCTAAAAAAATGGGATAGAAACCCTAATTACTTTAGGAGTTATGGTAATAAATTATTTATTAATGTAAATTATTTCACAAGCAAAGAACATAGAGGAAACTTGAGCAGAAGGATCATACATTATGTATAAAAAGGAATTGTAAAAATATTATAGCAGGCCTACTTGTGCTGCTCTCATTCAGGTTTGTCAGCATTTTAATTATAAGCCCTTATTTTCAGTGTTT